GTCTCTTATGCATTACACTTGAGAAAAGGGCTTGTGTTTGAGGATAAAGATCTAAAAAACTTACACCCTTGCGTGAAATTGATTTCCAGGAAGTGAAGCTTATAGGTTATCGTGTTGGCCAGTGCATGTTTTCACATCAGACACCTGTGCGCGAAACCAACAGAAAGGTTGGAGCTTTTGCATCTAAGCGCATTCGTGGCCATTATTTTAAAAACAGCGCATTTATAACCTAATTTATGCGTGTGGTAGAATTTTTTAGGAGCTACACTGTAACACCTAAAAGGCTTGGCCTTATGGGTGTTAGAGAGTGATCCTATAAATTAATCTTATAATCTAAAAAACTTGCAAAACTGCTGGAAAATTTCGATAGAGAGAAGCAGGAAAAAGAGAGGATGGGCGGAGAGAAGGGAGAAAGGGCTCATTTTTGGTAGCAAAACGGAAGCGAAAAGTGAAAAAATACTTTTTGTTCATTATCTAACATTTTCTGACTGGAGTGGAACTTCGACACCACTGATGTCCCCACATCCCTCTTCCAGAGCACCACTTCCGAGTGGTCATTTTTTCCCTGGCACGTGCAATAATTGCCAGTATGAAGATGTTTAATTGCTATGAACTTTTTGCGGGAAAAAGATATCACCAAAGAAAAGGTATTGGACACGGCGAAGGAATGAAAAAGAAAAAAGAAACAGCAACTTCCCCACAGCCTTGCTGCTGCTTCTCGCTCTCTCCCATTGCTTTCCTAAGCGAGTAAATTATGCATTTCGCTTTTTTGTTTTGATTTGATGAAGAATGAAGATTTCATTCAAGTTTTTTCATTTTGAAAAATAAACGAACTTTTTCCGTTAATTTTTTAAGATCAGTGTAGGATATAGGAAAAAATACGAAGCGAAAGCGTGTTGTTGTTGGTTTTTTTCTTCCCAGGCAAAGATGCAATATTTTTTATAATAAATCATTTTCCCTAAATTCCCTTTATTTTCCATAAAAAGTACATTTTTTCAATGGAATTTTTGCATTGCACGAATTTTTTCCAATTTTATATGCCATTTTCGCCCATTCTCTTGATAAATTTTTTAGAAAATACTTTTTATACCTACTTCTCTCGTTTCTTCCATCCACATCGTCTTCCTCATTCAGTCGCCTTCTACTTCTTCCCCCTTCCAATGAATATTGCAACTGTGAAAATACTGTTGTTAATGGTCCAGTTTATATCTAGCACCTCTGTCACTTATGCGCGCAAACTCTTCGAATGCTGTCCGAATAATCATTTCTCCCTTGCAAATAAACTCACCAACGAGACTTTTCTTGACAAGTTATCCAGTATGCAGGAAGAGGAAAATGCAAGAGTTCAAAACTAACGAAGTTATTCAGTCGAGGCAAGACCTCTATGCAAGAAGACGTAAAAGTTGATAGGGCAATACCAGAAATGTAGATTTTGGTAGAAAATAAATTTTAAACAGAACAAAGCAAAAGTGGATACGACGGTGTAACTAGAATGCGGGCAGTGGCGTAGGATTCCTAAATTCAAGAGGTACATTATTATGCGTTTTGTGCTGCAGCAGTTGCACAAAATGCATATTGTCGAGATTCTGTCTCTCTGTGTGTCTGTTTATGTGTGGGTTTCTGTATTTCTGTGTGTATGTCTGCGTGTTTGTCTGTGTGTGTGTGTGTGTGTGTGTTCCGAGTACATTTTTTCGGCAGTTTCAACTCGGGAACCAGAGGAGCTTGAAAGCTGAAATTTTAGTAAAATGTTCCCCGCCCACGTGCGATCCATAAATTCAGCCTTTACATACCTTCGGGAGCCAAGTACGACCCAGTGAAAGTTTTGGCGGAAAGGATTATTATCTCGGGATCTACGAAAGCTAGGAAGCTGAATTGTTAAAGCTTCCTCTGCTCCCCTACAACCCTGCAGATTTAAGCTAAGCCTGTCGTATGCATGGGTATCCCGTACAGCCCCGTAAAAGTTTTAGGAGGGGAAATTACTATTTCGAGGACCATGAAGGCTAGGGGCTGAAATTTTCGGATAATATCCTCTGCGTATGTGCGACACTACAAATTTAAATTCCAGCCTTCCTGTTTGCTGGGGTACTACATACGATCCAGTGAAAGTTTTGGCGGGGAAAACCACTATCTCGAGAGTGAGTAAAGCTGACAGGTTGAAAACTTCAAGCGAATGTTTTCTGCTTTTGCAGGAGCCTAACAAGCTCAAACTTAGCTTCCAAGTATGGTGAGGTCTCACGTACGACCACATGAAAATTTTGGCTCGAAATACTCAGAAGCCAGGGAATTGGGAAATTGAAATTTCGAAACAATGCTCATCGTCCGAGGTTTCAAATCCATCTTTCACGTACGTTTACGTTTTACGTGCTGGCACTTGAAACTTTAAATGAGTAATTTCGTGGCTTAGGAACCAAACAGGTTCTTAAGCTGCGAAATTACCCATTAAAAGTTTCAAGTGCTAGCACGTAAAACATAAACGTACGTGAAAGTGAGTTTGAAACCTCGGAAAGAAAGATGAATTTTTTTCACAGAAAAACTTACGTGAAAGATGAATTTTTTTTCACAGAAAAACGTGTGTGAAAGATGAATTTTATTCACAGACCATAATGTGGAAACAGCGAAAATCCTTAGGAGGCAGACGTCCGCTGATCGGAACTGCGCAAAACGCATGACTGCACCCGCTACTCTGGTGCGTGCCGCTATTTCTATTTTGTAGAAAACGGATCTGCAGGGTTGCACATGCTTATATCACTGACGTGTTGTTCGGCACCATGTGTGTAAGTGAAGTCCACCTTCCATTGCTTATTCACCTCCACCAGAGGATCTGCTAAAATAAAGTTGCTTCGTTAAGGCGTCTAATGATTTTGGCCCCTGCCGCTGAGTCGCCTGCGTAATATTGAAAGTGCAAAGTCAGAAGTCGCCTACAATCCTTCGAATTGGCGATCAAAATACTGCTGAAATTTGTATCTGCAGATAATAATCCTCCATGTGTTTTTGCCAAATTTCGCCCACAGTACCAGCTAGATAGGAACTGGTATCACAGAACATCTTTAAATTTTCGAATGGTGACCAGGCCGGAGCGAATGGTTCTGTCTTGCCTTCAGTGAGAGGGTTTGGCAGTTCACATGAGACTAGGTACAGGGGACTTGAGAGCGATTGATAGTCTCTGTGCTTTGACTCATTCTACGAAGTTACTGGGGGATTTTCAGGATGGTGCTTAA